CATTATTTTCAAATTTTGAGCGCGTCTTTGTATGTAGTTTGTCATCCGTTGATTCAACCTTTGTAACTGATACTGGTAGAATTTAGTGCGTTTTTCTTTCGTATTTTAACATAAAATACGCATTCTTTGAATTTGTCAAAGAGGAATCATAGGAGGGTGGTGAAACGCGCTGTAGTATGCGAGAAGAATCAGAAGATATGGATAATTTCGTGAATGCCTGAAAGGTGACTAGGATCGTGAGAAAGAAAGGCCATGGCAATGAGAAATTTCTAAAGTTAAGAAAATAATCAAAAGTTTATTGACCCATCTATACAACAACATGTGTAGCTAAAGTATTGGAATTCAGTGGTGAGTGTGTTTCGTATATGCTATAAATGCTATATGTTTGTATAGGCAACATATGTTCTGTATACCATTATAATTAATCTCATAAATTTTTATTCACCTTTAGATTAAACTTTTTATTTGAACATTTTATTTACACCTTTTATTTATACCACTATAAATAGAGCCATTCCAACTAAAAATTATTTCTGTCAAGACATTTGCACTAGCTCTAGATAAATTTTATATATCATTAAAATTGAATTAAATATAAGCTAGGCCTCAAGTGTTTAATTGTGTGTTTACTGTTAAAATTTACAGATTTCCTTTTGTCCAAGCATCACACTAACCAAAGGTCAAAATGGAGCTCTATTAAAGCAATATTAAATGTGAAAGGTTTTGTTTATGCAGTGCCGTGGATGCAAGAACAACTTTGCTCTCATTCCATCACTGGAAAGGCTTCAAATGCCTAGCTTAATTCAAAGAAAAGGATGCAAAACCAGAGCCAGAGAAAGTTAAGAGTATGTATGGTAAGCAGTATAATTAATTGTTAGTAATTATGTCTGGTCTAAGTTAATATATCTTTTATACATATCTTGGTTCAGTTATTGATGAGTTTTACCTTTTGTAGCTGTGTCTAAAGTATGGTGCAAAAAGGTTTGAGGGAAAAGAGGCTGACATATGACAAGTTATGGCACCAAAGATTAATAATATTGTGCAAGTTGAGAAAACCAAGTTGAAAGCATCTGGACATCAGTAACTATATGACATTCCATTTTCTACTATTTACATGTTCTGTACATGTAAATATATTTAATATAATAGCCTAGTTATATTTTTGCTATTTTCTTGCACAGTCATTTTATTTGGTGGGAAAACTGCAGTATGGTAATAATTTTATCTAGAAAATATTGAATAAATTTATACATTCATAAAAAACCAAGCTAAAATATTTCAATTTGAGTGACACCATATTGTTTTTAATTACTTAGAGCATAATATTTCAATTGAATCCTCTTCAAAATGTGTGAAATGTATATAATTTTCACTTAACTACCATTTAAGCTAAACAGCCTTCAAACAACCGGCTGCAGTTGTTTTATCCACAAAACAAAATGATTATTTGACAGACTTAATTACCAGAACTAGAGTTCTACATGCAGATTAAAGTTATATGGACACTTATAGGACTTGTTTTTATTCTTTGTTGTATAATATATGTATTTCAATTTCTTTAATCTCTAGATTTATTTATATGTAATTTAAGCAAGGGATTTTCATTAAATCTTTGCATCAATTGAACGTTAAGTAAATAAATTTGTTACATATATTTGGGAATATTTTATTTGTTTGTATATCTCACTCTTGGTAGAAAGAAGTTTTGATTATGTTGTTATAAAGTGATATATTTCAAAGTCGAAAAATGGACGAATGTTGAATATACCATTTATCATCCAATAGCATATTTAATAGATTATCCTATAAAATATACTATAGAATACATATTCTATGGAGCATTTTATCACATATTCAATAGGATCATTAATGGAATATTCCATAGATTGAAAATATTTTATGGAACATTTCATATAGGATGTCATAGAATATGTGTTAGAATGTTCCATAGAATACCAGTATTCTATAGAACATTCTAATGAATGTTCTGAAGGATATTCTATTGAATATTCTATAAAACATGGCATATGTTATAGAATATTCTATTAAAGGTGCTATAGAACATGTTGTAGAACGTTCCATAGAATAGGTTCCAAAATCCCTTAGAATATTCTATAGGATATTCAGTAGAGAATTTTAATGGAATATTCTATAGAACATTTTTGTAAGGGTTACATCGTCTTATTTAACACCCGAAGTTTGTGTGGTTTAGTTTTTGCACTTTTGGCGCTAGCATTGGAGCGACTAAATAGCATAAGCTATATAATCATACGAAGTATACAAAATGCGACTTGAAAATATTTATTTCTACATATGCTGTGACAGGAAAATCTATGTACAAGAATGTATAAAATGTCTAGTGTACTTAACGTCCTTCAAAAGTTTTTGTCCTAAGGCTTGCCGACCAGAGCAGTTTCCATTTGCCACACCAGCAATGTACTCCATGTTTAGTGGATAAAATAAGGTTGAGTGCTCTTCGATAGGATAACATTTGCCCTCCACCGCAATCATCAAAGTTTGAACGTCTGAAATGTCTTCTGAATCATTATCCTGATCTATGGAATCAACAACCTTTAATAAGAAACCAATGTTTTTTAGAAGGACTTTAAAAGTATTTAAAAAACAAAGTCAGCCCACAAAGGTTCTTACACTTACTGAACAAATCTTAAAAAAGAGAGACTGAGATTCTCCTACATTCTTCTTCAATAATTCCTTCAAAATCTAAGCAACTGTGCTCTGGATGTCTGTTAAAAAAATTGTTTATCAAGATAGATTATGTTAGATTATAAATAGGCATATTTCATGTAGCAATAGCCTGTATTGCTATAATACTATAATTTTGCCATTGGTTTGGGCAAATTATTATTAATTGCATGACTTACCTGATTTCCCAGTAATTGCTCTCTCCACTCTGTTTATAAGAACAAATGTAGTTTCTTGTTACATTTCTTGGCATAGTCCAAAATATTTTTCTCAATCAATGGATTGAAATTTGCCAATAATATCATGGATTAACTTGTGGTTTACTCTTTAAAATTCTGCTTTTACCTGAAAAAGAGATTAATAGAGTTTGCTAGATACATTGTGAAAGAAAATTCCTCTACTGGTAATTTAAAACCCATACTCTGTCAATTAACTAAAATATCAATGAGAATTTTATACAAAATATGGCAGGTAACTAAAAAGTAGCGAAGTAGCACACATGGGTATGTCGAACAAAGAAATTTGGCAGTCAATTATCAGCTTGGATAGTTTGTCAACAAGAATTATAGTACCTTATATCAATATTAAAGCTGTAAACTAAAAGCAAACTTACCTCTGTAACAAGCTAAAGTGCAGGATTTTTTCTTAAATTGTTTCTACCCCAGGCATTCTTATGCTCCATGAACCCTGTATCAGAAAAAATATATTTATTGATATGTTTAACAAGTCAGATCCATTTCTTAAAGTATCATAGAGGTGGTAAACATAAATAATCGTAAAGATTATGTACATCAACAAGGTTATCACTTACTCTTCCACCACAATTGAGTCAGCAAGGAAGGGATATTTCCAAATTATCATAGGTGAAATATTTTGTTTTTCTTCCATGGTTTGATAAATTAATTTTATACGCCTGATTGTTGACAGTAAATATCCCTCATTCCCTTGTGAACCAATGTTACGTAAATGCATCCACTGACCGAAATATAATAATGAGTAAGAGTCAGAATGGACGCATAATCGACATATTTGGGGATATAGTGTCGCGGCAACCAACCGTACAACGAGAGAAAGGCGAAATTTTAATTTGAAATTTCAAACATCGTCTCGCTTTGCCTTTTTTGGATTTATTAACAATCGTTTTTAGTTTTTTACGAATTTTAAGACAGTGTAAACTGAAAAGAGAGTAAATAATATACTTTATTAGAGATTTATAGAAAATTTCGTATTCATTGCAATAGAACTGTAAAACCATAGAACCGTAGAACAATGGAACCGTAGAATCCTGGAACTGTAGAACCCTGGAACCGTAGAACCATAGAACCATGGAACCATATAACCGTAGAACGGTAGAACCGTAGAACCGTAGAACCATAGAACCATAGAACCATAGAACCGTAGAACCATCAAACAATAAAACCATAAAACCGTAGAACCGTAGAACAATTTAATGGTAGCATTATATTATTAGTGCCGTATAATTATGCATTACATATTTATTTAATTATTACAATATATTTCGTTACTCGTAACACGGCCTTATAACCCTCATTAGTGATCTGCCACATAATATTTCATCAGTCCTTTCATCACGCGCCCGACGTCAAAGTTCACGAATCGGGTATGCGCCAAAGATCATAACGGAATTGCAATCGAATGTTTTCGATTTTGAGTAAGTGTAATAGTTCTGGATACTTTTGTACTTTCACACTCAAGTACTGCTCTGGTATATTAAATAATACCAGGTAATTGTAATATTTTTGTTATTACAAATTACAAGTTTTCTAACCGAGTATGTGACTTTAATACCTGAGTGTCAATGTTTGTCAAAGTCATTTAGATGTAAATTTTGATTAAGATGTCTTTTGCAACCTGGGCTTATCTGACGTGATATGTATCCTGACTTCCTATCTTCCACCATATTGATACAATATAATTGCTGCATGATCCTGGGTTTCAAATTGGAATTTGCTTGCAAATGCCTAACATATATAATAGCTCTTTGTTATGATAAACAACTATTAGAAAGTTTTGGCAAAATGTCAAGAATTCAGACCAACTCCAAAATAGAGGTTCTTTTGCTGATTTTCCTAACAAATGATGTTGAAATCAATCCTATGTCCTTTTAGGATTTTATTATCATTTCCATAATTTCATGCAAATTATTGTATGTAGGATTTCAACACCTGACAACTATCATTCTGTCTTTCTATGTATTTTGGCAACTGGAATATAACTGCAGCCATAAAGTTCTCAATCTAGTTTTGTCATTGCACATGTGAATGGTTGGTAACCACATGGAGTAAGTTATTAACTGACAAATTTTCAAAAATATTTTATTGGGCTTTCAAAGATTTTCTAAACATCTTGCCAAGCTTGAAGGCACCAACAGAAGTTATCATTGGTGGGAGAAAAGGTCAGTTGTCAATCTTGAGATAAAATAAAACTGACAACTGCTGGTAATTTGTAAAAAAACTGTTTTTGTTTTATAGACAAAGCAGGCAAAAGACTCAGAATATTACAATTTCTACTGAGCGCAGAGAAGACCTTATCACAGAGGCTTTAGTAAGGAAGTGTAATTTTTATTATTTCGTACCTTTGTTTTACTGTATTGTACAATCTGTCAATTAACCACTGATTATTATATTTTAAAAGTTCTACAAAGACTTTGCTGGTCATAAAAGTGGAAGTGATATGGTATGTTCGGGTTAATTATACCTCATTCCCTAAAATGAAACTATTCGCAATAAATTCAAAATCGTAATTCATCATAGTATCAATGCCCCCCCCTCCCCTCTGTCTTCAAAAAGTTAGGTCCATATTCCTTTTCTAATTTAATAAGTGGGTTCTTAGTAAAGTGATAAGCTAACTGAAGCTAACGTTTCGAAACTATTTCAACATCAACATATGCCATATTTTTGTGTAGAAGTTTAGTGGTTATAAATTACATTGCAGTGAACGAAAGGTTGCACTCATGTTAGAGGTACCACGGCGGGCACTGGCTGGAATAAATTCGCTCACGTAGATCGTGTCGGTCGCGACCCGCAATTTTTGGGAAACTGGGTTCGAGTTTTTTTAATACGGAAAAACAAGGAATTTCGATTTTATCTCCACTTTTACGCCTTCCCATAAGGCCTCTTTTTACTGTTCAGAAAATTGAGTCGATGAGCGAAGTAGAGCTGATCAAAATCTCCCGTTTGATACCAAATATGCAGAGAAAAGATTTAATTTGACCTACTTTTTACGTGCAAGTAGATACCCTATTTTGAAGAATTGTTTTGGTATTCACATTGAGTACACACAATGGTATGTTTGGCTTCATTAAACTTTGGGCAGCTACGTTGTTGTGCTTGTTCTTTGGCAAATACTTAACGCTTAGGTATTGTTCTTCGATCGTATGTTTTTTGTTTGGCAAGAAAGCGCTTATTTTCCTTGTATTTTGATGGATTTTATCATGTTTCTAGCATGGCTGCCTCAAGTGGTGTAAGGAAGAGGCGATACAACAGATTTCCTGTTGGGAAATATATGGTCTTGCAGAAGGAGAAATGGGACAATGTTTTAAAAGAAACAAAAGCTATTCAGGAAACAGATGTGCAATTAGCTCAGAAAGAGAAGGAACTTTGTTCAAAACGTGAGAGAATGAGACGAATAGATGCAAAATTTAGTGTATTTTTTTAAAAAATTGAGTTATATAAATATTAATTTGATTGTGCTTTGAATGTAGACCTGAGCAGCATGTTTCACGGACTGGTACTCTACTACACAGCCAGAAACGCCACAGACTTGTTGCAAGTTGTCAGTTTTACCGGCTTGTTTCAAGTTATCAACCGGTTGCAAAAAGCTGGTTAATTTCAACAAGTTGCGACAAGCCTGTGAAAATCAGTCTTGTTGCAACTTGTCATAATTAGCAGTCTTGATGCAACTTGTCAATCCCAAGCTTGACAAGTCTGATTGAACAACTTGCAGCAAGTCTGTTGTAACTTCTAACAGGTTTGTTGACAACTTGCATCAGGTCTGATGAGAACAACTTGCATCAAGTCTGTTGACGACTTGCAGCAAGTCTGTTGACAACTTGTAACAGCCCTGTCTGAACAAGCTGATGCAAGCCATGCGAACACATCAGATATCAGTTTGATACAACAAGTTGCAACAGGCCTGCAGCAGACTTGTTGCAACTTGGGTGTTTTTGGCTGTGTATATTATATTGGCTTTTGTATTTTTTTTCCTGCTGCACACATTCTAAATAAAATTCATAATTGCCTTCAGATTGAAAACCTTGATAAATATATTGAGGAAGGGGGTGATGTTATCAGTGAAGTGAATAGAGCAGGTAGAGCAGGTCATGGTAGTTCAGAGCCACCTAGGAAGAAAAGATTTATTTCGGAGAGATCAACCTCAATAAGAATGAGAAACCGCACTCAGTTTGGTGCAAATAGTACAGTTAGTCTAGCTACTTCAAGAAGGAGGAGTTCAGAGACATTTGAGGCAGCATGTCAGATTCATGGGGCTACTAATCACTCAAATTTACCAGGCCAAGTTGGTCTGTGTGACACAGCAATAACAAAATGTTCTGAAAAACTTTTAGTTAATGTTTTTTCAACAAATGTTAAAACAGTTAAAAGAGTAATTCCTAAGATATTACAGAAAGGTATAAATGATTATGAAAAGTCAAATGATAACATGACAAGAAGTATCGCTGTGTATTATAGTGGCGGTATAATGGGTAAAAGGAAGTATCGTAATGTTTATAGGGCAAGTAGTTACAAAAAGAGTAATGAAGCAAAGTCTCTTCGTATAAAAATCAATAACTGCCCTATTCCGAGACTGTTGCCTTACCATAAGCTTGCACATTATATTAAATCAATAGATATTGGTAAACTTTATTCCATTAGGGAAACACTTTGTGATGGTCTAGATGAAATTGACAAAGTTGATGGGGTGTATAGAAATATTCAGGAGATAGTTCTTATTCTTGCTAGATACTACTTAGTGTGTCGAAAGAGGTATGAGCTTGTATGCTTTAAGAAACAAACTTACACTTTCAATATTTCACTTGGAGGCGATGGGGCACCATTTGAAAAAGATGACACTTCGTGTTGCTGGTTAGTTAGTTTTCTTAATTTAGGCAGGAAAGTGCTAAGCAGCAATGAGAATTATCTATTGTTTGGAGCCAATTGTAAAGAGGATTGTGTGCCAGTGCGTCGGTTTCTACAAAAGTGCTTGAGTGATATTAGTGTTTTGGAGAAAAGTACCTTTCAGGTTGAGTGTGGTGGTGAGATGGTTAATGTAAGATTTCATGTCTCAGAAATGCCTAACGACATGAAGATGTTGGCATTCTTTGGTGGAGAACTATCAAACGCAGCCACTTTCTTTTCTACCTTTGCAAATGTAAGCACCCATAATATGAGTTCTCTTGCAGGTTCTTTCAGTTTTTCTGGGAAGGAAATGTGGAAGCCCTGGAAATATGAAGACAGGGTCTCTGCTGCAAACAAGGTTGAAGATTTTAAGAAAACTATGGCCAAAAAACCATTGGCACCAGCCACAGTAAGATCTAAGGTAACATCCTTCATTGCCCAGTTGAAAAGCCGCCAGGAATTTCAACCCATTGTTGGAAGGTTGATTGATCGGGCTCATGTAGACCCGCTTCACCTAAAAAACAATGCTTGTGCACTTACCCATAGGTTGTTGCTTTATGAAGTAATTGCAATGACAAAGCTTGGACAGAAGGTGAATTCTTTTGCTCAGGTTCCTTCAAACTCTCCATTTAAAATGTACATCCTTTCCATGCGTGAATGCAATTTATCAAGGTTAGCGAATAAGATCATCAAGTGGTTTGATGAAACTGGTGCTAATGGAAAAAGTTTTGAATATCGCTTCACTGGCAAGCAGTCAAGACTTTTTCTCCTGCATTTCATGAAATTAATTTCATATATTGAACCTATTTCTGAGCCTGGTAGGCAGAAAACTATTCTGCATATTCTTGCATACATTTGCCTTCTTCTTAGAGATTGTGTTTCGATATTCAGTCGAATAAATATTTCAAATGATGAGATAAAGAAGCTTACCAATCTCTGTCGAGACTATTTCCGGGCAAATGCTCTGTTCTTTCAAGTAAATCCCACTGTTTGGACAATAGGCAATATTGTTCCTGCCCATACCCAGTACATGAAGGACAAATATGACCTTGGCAACGGTATTAACTCAATGGAAGGAAGAGAGGCAAAACATGTCTTCATTGCAAAATACAGCAGGAATACCAATTTTGTTTCCAGATGGGAACAAATTTTCCGACATGAGTTTGTATCCTTAATCTGGCTCAGGGAGAGAGGTTTTAACCTTCCTAATGAGAGATCTGATCATTCTTGTGCCAAGTCATATATTCCCAAACAAGTAAGCTCTGGAGATTTGGCATACTGTTATTGTGGGTTGCAGAAGGTGTGCATGTCAGATGTTAAGTGTAGATTCTGTGCAGATAAGCTTAGGAGGTTGATTGTATCAAGTGTTTCCTCAGGGAAAAATCTTGTGTTTAAGTAGGTTTGATTAGCTTGGCCAACTTGGGTTACTCAACTGCCAGTGTTCTTGTGAATTATGTTCCAGCGGATGAAAACCTTAAACTGCTGGAGAACAGAACAGCAGCAGGGTAGCCAGGGCATGCGGCCAAACCTTTTGTGAACTTTTTGCTAATGTATTAATCTTTTTTATGAATTTGACTTGAAAAATAAATTTTTTATTAAATTATTCTGGCAAATGACTTCATTTGTTGTGATATGGGAATGATGGGAGGTGCACATATGAACACTAAGCTATCAGGGCCGTCATAAAGACATGTCGACAGGGGGTGTTTGTCCAAAAATTACCGACAAAATTCTGAAAATCTACTAATTAACCCATTAAACGGCATTGTGCCCTGATGCACCCTACCTTTAGTATTTGCTCTGTCTAACACCAGACAATTTTACTCGTCATGTGAAAAGTGCTGGCACTTAATGGGTTAATATTTCATTTCCCAAAAATGTCGGCAAGCACGGGGGAGGCGGGTGGGGGAAGCTTGGACAAATTTAGAGTTATTTGTTTGTTGTCTTTACATGAAGGTCACACAGGCTACATACCGTAAATGCTCAGTTTGCAAGCAAGATTTGCATTTATGGAGCACGGCATTACATGATACAGTAATAAAGTGTGAATAAGTAACTACCAACAGACTGCAGATACACTATTTAATTTACCTACATACAAATGCACACCAACAGTAATGAAATAATTTTTTTTCTTTTCATTTGTAAACATTAAAATGGATTTTTTGTACAAAAGCTATCATAATAGTACATGATTTCAACAGCAATTCAATCAACATATAAACAATGTTCAAAATGAGTAATACAAATCAAATTATATATAAACAGAAAGTATATAAATTTTACGGTATGAAACTCAAATTTCAACATTAAAACCCCCATCCTATGAAAGGTCACATTCATCTCCAGAAATTAATTCAGCGATACACTGCTGACACATGTAATATACCGCACATTATTTTTAGCTTGAAATCAGCCAAAAAATAAAAACATTGAACATGGGCATATTTTGTAGTTCTATATAAAAAGAGTATTAATGAATTAGCTATGTTGGGGGAATCCATGTACATTCCATTCTCCATAATTAAAGGAAATTGTCAATTGCCCCTTCTTAAAATTACACATGAAAGCAAAATCTTTCCTATCACTTACTATTAGCTCAACTTTGTGTCCTCTTCTTCTACCTGCTAAAGTTCTCTTAAAATAGTTCTTGACCACTTTATCTTCATATCCTGACAGCAAGGTATATAATATATTACTTGACCACTTTATCTTCATATCCTGACAGCAAGGTATATAATATATAGTTATATATATATATATATATATATATATATATATATATATATATATATATATATATATATATATATATATATATATATATATATATATATATATATATATATATATATATATATATATATATTTAGTATATATATATATATATATATATATATATATATATATATATATATATATATATATATATATATATATATATATATATATATATATATATATATATATATATATATATATATATATATATATATATATATATATATATATATATATATATATATATATATATATATATATATATATATATATATATATATATATATATATATATATATATATATATATATATAATTTTCTTTTGACGGCGCTGAATTAGGAAATGATTTCGTTCACCGCAGACAAAATCTAATTGAACCAATTTGTTTTCTCCACACTGTAAACAAACCTTTAACTCCGTGGGCGAAATGATGATGGGTTGTATACCAATTTTGTAAGGGGAAGGAAAATGCCATTATACCCAAACACTCCATAAAATGATGATTTTCATGGTTTGCATTGCCTACATGCAATACATCTAGAATATTTAGCAAATTACGAGCGAATGAAGAGTTTGAAAATTTAAAGATTTCAGCAATGCTACGTGTGCAGAAACATGGTGGGTCATGGTGGACATTTTTCCGCAGTAAAAAAAGTTTTCCCATACAGAGGCTTTTGAAACATCGTTCTTCTATGCGTTTTTACTAAACCAATTAGTATACGATGTCCATTTTGTCAACATATGGCAAAGCAAATTTTTCACACCTCTCTAGTGGCCGTTTACAAATTACGTGGCGCATTTTTGGCCATTTTTGACACCCCCTTCTTTACACATACTATCAAGTTTGTGAAGGCAACGATTGTTTTGGCTGTTTTCCTTGTTGTCTGGTTTATGTTGTCCCTTCTACAGCGTTCCCTATCAACTATTCTCTCTTTTTATCAACCTGTCGTCCTTCCTTTTGCTCTCACCCCACGACCATCTTCTCACCCCTTCCCCCAGTCATTGGCGTCAATCTGACGTTAATTGAGGGGACCATATTCATATCTGCTGTGCCTGGCTAATTTCTTTTGAACACAACTCACTTTCAATAAAAATCATCCTGGCGTAACAGAATATATGAATATAGGTCCTCCCTAATTAACATTAGATTGACAGCGATGCCCAGTCCCTCTGTTCAGTCCCTTTTAGCGGGATTCAAAACATCGATTTACCACTTAGAAGACAGTCGTCTTCGCCTCTAGACCACAAGTTCTTGTACTGGATAGCCATGGTTATTTAGTTTACTTTACCCTTTTACGAAGTTCATAATAAAAAATGGTTTTGGCAGGATTCGAAACATCGATTTACCACTTAAAAGACAGCCTGCTGAAGACATGCTGAACGGCCATGGATATTTAATTTACTTTATTCTTTTCACAAAGTTCATAATGAAAAATGTCATGGCAGGATTCGAACCATCGATATAATACTTGGGAGACGATTGTCTTCGCCACTAGGATGCAAAATTTTGTGATGAATGCTTATGGTTATTTAATTTACTTTATCCTTTTCACGAAGTTCATTATGAAAAACGGTTATGCTAGGATTCGAACCATCGATTTAAAACTATGGAGACCATCGTCTTTGCCACTAGCTGCAAGGTCTTGTGCTGGATGACCATCGTTATTTAGTTTACTTTATCCTTTCACGAAGTTCATAATAAAAATATTTTTGGAAGATTCAAAACATCGATTTACCACTTTAGAGACAGTTGTTGTTTAGCCATTAGACTGCAAGGGCTTGTGCTAAGCGGCGATGGTTACTTAATTTGTTTTATTCTTTTCACGAATTTCAAATAAAAAAGGTCATGGAGGATTCGAACCATCGATTTACTACTTGGGAGACGATTGTCTTCGCCACTAGACTGCATGATCTTGCGCTGAACGGTTATGGTTATTTTAATTTATTTATCCTTTTCACAAAGTTCATAATGAA